TTTAAAACACATAATATTATTTTAATCTGCCTCTAAATTTAATTGATTACAGCCGTACACAGTTTTCATTTTTAGGTCCCTATGGAGCATATCGTTTGGGTTTTAATTTCCGAGTGTATAATTAAAAAAAAAAAAAACACATTTTATAAGTATATTTCTTATCCATAATTTAAAAAAGAAAAAAAATGTATGCTTTAATTCTTTATTTTTTTGTGTTCTTTCTTGCCACTTGGGATTATCGGCCACTACAACAGGACCACTACCGTCCCATAATTGCACACCTAATCATCGAATAATTCTCGCCGTAAGTTTCCAGTCTAATAATCTAATTTTAAGATTTAATGATTGAGACTGGAAATACTGGTTTCTTTTCCGGTGCTTAAACAATAATTTTTGTTGTTTATTTTTTAAACAATTAAACATGACGGGATTCTCATAATAAGTGCATATGATCAAAAATACAAAAATAATGTAATGGGGGACAACCATTACTGGAACATCGGTTTCGAGTTTATATTTAACTCAATATTATTATTTTAGAATCGTCAAATGTTTTTTTTTTTTTTTTGTTTTTGAAACTTATTATTATTTCTCTCCCACCACTTTATCGTTTTAACACTATGGTTACTGCGGGTTCTGTATTTAGGAACTATATAAAGAACCACGTGAAAAATAAAAACTCTAGCTGGTTTCCGTGTTCGTTAAGACAAAACGGTTATTGCTACATAAAAATCACCGTCATCGAACGTGATAAAACGTTCGATTTGGAGAAAATGATTCGATATTCCTGCCTCCACGACTACCCCACCCTCTTCTGACTTCAAAAGAAAATAACTTACTTCTATAATAGCTACTCGCACTGTTATTATTATTATTGTTTTTTTTTTTCTATATTAGGACCATGACGGCGTTGACGTTTTTGAATATGAAAACCTCGTGTCGAAAAATAAAATAAAATATAATATTATTGTGATATATCGAAATTAGTGCGATTTAATGTAAAACAACGTGATATGAAAATTAAAGAACTCGATATATTAATTTAGTAACAATATTCATGATGTGTGTAACTTTTTTGTTCTGCCTGCTGTAACAGTTTTTCTACTAGAAATCTTGCACCGATAAAAAAAATAAAATCCTATCCGATCCTATCATATCATATCATATCATATCAACCTGTAGTAATTTGTTCTGTTTCCGTAAAAAGAAAAATATATTATTCCATATCGAATCATTATATGAGTTTTTCTTGTAATGCGTGTTTCGTGCAAATAAACAAGTCGTTTGCAATTTCCTTAGTATAAAAATTATAATTCATTGAATTATTAGTTTAGAATTGTTAAGACTTGGTAGTTGTGAATGTTAACAATTAGTAAAAATTACGATCAGTAAATTTCGTACAAAATATTATTGTCATTTCACGTTAGATAATGATAATAATAATAATATTTATTTCGACAATTTCTGTCATCCTCCCGATCGTTGAAATAATAATATTTACGCCGTATACAAATATTCAATTATAATGTGACATGATTTTTTTTTCTGCCTACTCACGTTGGTTGTGCTGTAGTTTCCCTCGCCTCTGTACGCCACACCGTCGTGTTAATCTACTCAATTATTTTTGTTCGACCATTTATTTATTTGGTTTTTTTTTTCGACAAACTGCGAATATATACATTTTTTTCATAAAAAAATATTCGATCTGCGTTTTTTCCGGCTCGTTAAAAAAAAACGTAATGTTCAAATGATTATTCGTCGTGTTGGGCTTAAAAATGTCGAGTGTTTATGACATTTCAAATGTTGTAAAATTGATTTAAACGTTTTGTAATTTTTTTTTTATCCTATATGTAGGTATTGGTAATCTTTTAATTTTTTTCGCAAAGCGTTCCCCTTTTGAACGAGTGAAAATAATATTACGGTCACACTATATATTTAATATATGACTAAAAATGGCACTCACGTAAGGGATCGTTTATCGAACCGAGACCTTTTCTTTAGTCTCTGAGCATATAGAAAAGAATGCATTGGTTTTACTATGATGTGTGTTTAGTGTGTGTGTGTGTGTGTGTGTGTGCCATTCTCTGTAAACATTTTTTAGATCAAAAATCATATTCAAATCAAACATTTTATAAGTATTTTTTGGTAACAAATTTTATCTATATGGTGCATTAATGAATTTATTATTCGATTTTCTTTGTATGGTTTTCTTAATATTAGGGAAGTACCGACGAAAACGGTATATTTTCGCAATACCATGTTCCGTTATTTTTATTTTTTTTTTTTCACTTTCTTGAAGTTGTATTATAAAAGCATTTATAGCATTTATTAAAGCATTTTAGTTCTTTATAGACATTTTAAATTTGGTTTTATACGTATACAATTCGTTCAGCTAATCAAAATTTGATCGGGTTTATTATAATTTATAAGTTATTATCCTCATCAAAGCAATATTTTTATATCGAAAATCCGTAGTTGTGATTTTAAATTCGGAGATAATAACGTTATTTTTAATTTGCATCAGCGTTTTAAAATCAAATTTAGGTTAAAATTCGTTAAAATACAAAAACTATAATTTATTTCGTAGTTGCAGTTTAAATTTATAAAACCATGCCTAACGAGACCTCAATCCGAATAGTTTTCCGATTGCAAAGATTTACTGTTTCATACAGGTATTAACTGAATATTCTTATGTATCCCAACATCTCACCTACAACAGTATTTAGATAGGCACTTCGCGTTTTTCAGGTATAATTTATTGCATCACAAATAATTAGGTATTATTATGACGAGACCGTTAGCACAAAAGAAAGTTTAAAAAGTTAATAACATTTGATACACTTTACAGTTATTATCATAAAAGCGGGAATATTAAACATATTAAAATATCTTTGTACAATTTTACAACTTGTTTGTTAAATGATTTAAATAATTTACTACCTTAAATGAATAATATCATGTACATTTTTCATTATTATAATATTCAAACGCCGCAGTGAAAAATGTTTAGTGTTTATATTGTTATTTTTATTCATTCTAATTTAACATTTCGCTAATTTAAACTATTTTCGTTGGAAATATAAAAACTCATTTTTAATGGAACGCGAGTAGTTTCGAACAATAGGCGTGGTTTGGTAATACAATTTTGATCAACCTGGTTATAGTAGATTGACAAACAAACTGACAATATTGTTTATTGACATTTGTGTCTGATTATTGAATGCACTTTTCGAAAACCAGATTACTGGAATCAGCAAATAATTCAAACCTACGTTTACTGTCTTCTGGTTAATGGTCACCCATTGGTAAATTACTATAAAATAAATAAAACATTTCGGCGATAATACAACCATGTAGCCAGTGGCATCTCCAGACCTTGACTACGAGGAGGGGGGGCGAAATAAATAAATTTAATATTAATGATTGATAAGAAAATAAAACGTACATACTTCGCACAACGGGTGGACCATTGTTATAGATGAGAAGTTGGGGAGGTAGAATATTGAGCGAAATTAAATGTACATCTCTACCTAAGAAAATTTAAGTATTTCCAACAAAAAACGATTGTGAGTGAAAGTCAGTTGATAGTATTGCTGACGGGCGTCTTCGGGTCAATTCCACGAAGGAAGAGCGGCGAATAATTTTTACTCCTGAATACAACCGCTTTAGTCAACAAAAACATTTATGTCTAATGTCATTTCAACTTAAATTAGCTTAAAAAACTGCAGATATATGGTAAAAATGCATTAAAACAATTTAATTTAAGTTAAATTAATTTTTTTCACATTAAATTAATAATAATTCAAATAATGATAACATGAATAACAAAATACTTTTATTTCAAGCAGCGTTTTGTAAGTGCTATATTCAAAAATATTTTCTATATTAATGTTTTCATTTTAATGAATATTTAAAAGTGATAAGTCAGTTAGCCTTTATTCAATTTTTTTTTTATCAAAAATTACAACTTTTACTAAACCTCTCGTTAAATTATCAAGCATTTTCGTTTGGTTTAAACATTTTACACACAGAGTACTTACCGTATAAAAATTGCGTACAAAACTTGCAAATTTAAAATGTCTATAAATTGCTCAACAATTTTATCACGTATTAGCTTCTTTTTTTTTTTATATTTATAGCGAAGGAATTTAAAATCATTTACAAGTAATTTACAATAAGTCACCTTGTGAAGTCTGTCACGGGTTTATAGGTTAGCATAATGTCATCACTGACATTCGATCGGTGTACGCGGTCGTGAAAATTGTTTTTGATTTCCTTCCGTTATCCATGGATAGCGTTACTGCAAATGGCATTATCTTACCGTAGATGAAAAATAATGTAACTCGTATATAAATAAAAAGCGTTTTTCTCGAATTTCCCGTTTCGGCGGGTCAAAAACGATGGTCAGACCCGTGAACATTTTAAAACTCTACATCGTGTCGTTTTCTCATACATCGTAGATTCAGTGTTCAAATGTAAAATAATTATTTAACGCCCTCGCGAAAAGTGAAATTTATAACGATAAAATGAATTATTGTTATTATTTTTTTAAAACTGAATCGGTTGAGGCACTTATATTTGTAATCGTAATAATATAATCGTATAAATCGTTTCTCTCGATTAAAGTTTTCGTCACGAAATATTTTCTCGAAAATCTTTTTCGGTTGTCAATCGAAAGATTAACGAAGCAACGCCCTTATCTTTTTGCATATTTCCTATCGTCCGGGTAACGAATAATAAAATAATGTTTGAAATAGCATAAACGTATAGAAACCTGATATTTTCACCGAATACTTTTGTATTAGCATTTTTTAGATATTTTCCTAAAATATTTATCCTTTGTCAGGTCAGGAGTTTAATAAATTATTGTTACGTTAGACAATTCCTGATAAAAAATTTCTATTTTCAACCGTAAAAACCATTAAAATACGACATAAATGTTGTATTATTTTGTTTCTATTTTTAAAATTTTTTTCAACGCTTTGTATAATATAGTGTTCATGGTAAAAATCGTTTTTAAACCCGAATTTGGTAAATGTAGAAATTTAACAGTCACCAGTAGTCAGCGGACGGAAATTTCAGCGGCCGTTACGGTAAAAAATTTCTATTTTCAGTCATATGGCTGACACTGGTTGACGACATAGAGATGACGCATGTTATTGGATAATATCGAACCTAAAGTGCATCAGTTTTTATGTGCTGCATTTAACACCTTATTATGACTTTATGGTTGTCAATTTTCAGGCCCGAAACATTATAGACAACTGGAGAATTTTGATAACAGTATTTTGGATAACAGTTGTGCTGAAATTGGATCCCGATCCTGTTATCCTGTACAGGTCTAAAGCCGAAATCGGTGTATGTTTTCAATAAACCACATTATTGTTATATTAAAGTATAGGCAATTTAACGATATTGACCACGGTTGTTTCAGCACGATTCGAGTAATCGAAACACAACGGTTGTGTCGACCATAGAAAAAACTTTGAAAGCTATCATAATGATAATTCAAGCATTCAGATCTACCGAAATACTCAACATTTTTAATGATTTAAAATATATCGAAAAACGTCTAAAAATTACAGGTAAAACGAATTATTCTACTAGCTAAAATTTTGTCCACATGATCAGGGGCGGTCAAACAGGAAGCCTCTATTAAGTTGTTTTTCTTAAATATTTATAATAATGTACAAAATGATATTTAAGCATGCTCTATGCTCACTCTTTTTTATGGTTAAATTATGTATACATTCAAACTGTGATGTTTGGAATTTTTAAGTGTTGGGGAAAACGATATTTTCGAATACTTAGATTTTTTACAACACTTAAGGAGTATCTTATGACAACACTAACATTGATTTTTCTAATGAGAATCCACATATTTTAATGCAAATTGGCAATCAAATGATTTTTTTGAAAATGTTTACGTATTCTAATCAAAATTTGAACGAAAAATTTCTGAGTTTTTCTACTTTAAATACTAAAGAATATTAACTACATAATTCAAAACTAAATTATCTATATATATATATCTATCTATATATATCAAAATTATCTATACACATGAAACCATTGGTTTCCAAATCCCATGAAAGACTATTGTCATTAGAATTTAAAGCAGAATATCTCAGAAACATTTCGTTAAAATTAAGATTTCAATACGTCGACATTTTGAAGAAAAAAATTATTTATTAGCATAATTTGCATCCAAACATGAATAAGATTTTAATTTGAAAACCAATGTTACCACCTCAGGATACTCCGTTAAATTATACAACAACATTTAACGTTAGTAATGATCTCAGTACGCAAAATTATCGTCGGTCACTACACTTAAATTTTCAAAAAAACATATTTTAAATTTATGCGTAACTCAATCATACAAAAAGGGTGAGCATTATTATTATTATTATTATTAGGTATTTATTGAATCATTATCAATTGCAAAGTAGGTCGAAATTATACAATATTCAATGAAAAATAAATTTTAAAAACAAGAAAACAAAATAGTAGGTACTTCGATGATGCTGTCCCAAAATCAAGCTTGTGGAAGGGAGCAGCGAGTTATATAAAAAAAAAAAAACAGTTATACAATATAAATTAAATACAATACTAAGTATGCTTAAAAAAATCACTATGCATATTAAATTATACCTTGATAGGTATAAAAAAAATTGTATGTAAATAATAATAGTTCTTAAAAATCTCCTCCCCTCATGACAAAATTATTTGATCACCACTGCGCACGATGATAGTTACTATCGTGACAGATACGAAATTCGCAATCATGTGCAGGTATAGTTACTGTCATTAATTATTATTATGTGAACAGGAATATTGTTACAAATAAACTATCGTGAAAGCAACTATAACACACTATCGCACATTCATAATACCTAGTTAATATAGTTACGATCTCGAGAAAGCGAAAGTAATACATATTATCACTGTGTAAACATAACATGGTTACTTACTATGGTTACATCAAACTTGTATCGCTCTTTCACCGACGTTTTAATCGAAATTCACTCTACTATAATGTCTTCTACTATCATTCTATTCTACTATTTATACTATACATAATCATATGGATGTCGTAAACTCGTGTGACCCACACTTAATTAAATAACACGCGTCACTGCACTACAATTATTTTCTCATTCTACTCGTTTTTATATGATACCGCTGTTATTATTTTTTTAGTTTCTGAGTGAAGCAAGGGATCTATTGGGTTTGACTATGAGTATTTTTTAAAATTTTTATAATTTTGTTTGTAAACAACTTTTTTCTTAGAAATCTTGCGCCAATTAAAACTTAAAAAGAGACCTTTTTTGTTCCATTTGGGTTCTAACCAGTGATTTAAAACCATCATTTTTTTAAATTCTCATTGATATTTGAGATAATGAAGAAAATGTCGTCTCTTCTCTTTTTAACAGTGCCTTCGGCGTTCCCAAATCTATTGTCAACCATCTTTTTTCGATCAGGACACACTCCCTATTCCACTTACCTCAACACCACACCTCTTATGGGTTTAATAATCATCTCCAACGTGCTTTACGTTTGTTCAATGCTGTTTACTTCGGGCCTTTTTAACAATTTCACTTAGATTTAAGTTAACTCGCTGCTGTCACCCCTTCCACTTAGTCTTAGTTAATTTTAAGATCATTTTATACAAAATTGACTAGTTTGGCGTTTAACTGTTTAAAAAATAAATAAAACCGATTCTTTAGGTTAAAAGACTAAAAAATTAAAATTAAGGTTGTCATTGACAACTGTTTTAATTTGTTTTTTGTTATTATTATTTTAACTTTTTAAACAATCGTTGTTGTCGTGAAAACATACATTCTTTATAAAAAAAAATGCTATTGATAGCATTGAAATTGATATCATATTGATTAGCAATGATTAATCGTTGTGATCAGTTTTTATATTTTAAAACACATCAAATTATTTTTGTTGGTTTATTGGTTGTCTTGGTAACATGAATGAAAAAATGTTAAGATATTTAATCATATTCCACATGTTTTTTTTAAAAAAATTATAACAGATAATATAATATTATAGTTTATATTTTTTATGTATATGGTAAAATCATATATATCTCAATGGTATTGCGATAACTGATAACAACCTTAATATTAGAGTATTAAATAATGACACTATTAATATTAAACAAACATGTATCAAAATAACATCCTAAATATCCAAGCCCACCTGGAACCAACTATCATCTCTTAAAATGTTGACGCAGCTGTTTCGGCTTGCTACTGTCCGTGAGCATTATCACTTTTTTCTGCGGTTTAAATATTAAGTGAATCGTGATTTATGTAACGTGTTTGTCCGCAGCTCTTTTTTTCTCGATATAACATAATTAGTAAATAGGTATAACAGAATCGAAGTTTTTTTTTATGAACGATTAGGTATTATAATAATAATAACACAACAGTTATTGTTACAAGTATTTCTTAGGAGTGACTATTTCCTTTGTAGTAAAGGAGAACTTCAAAATAAACACACATTATGAAAGAATTACGGTTTGTCGTTCGAAAAAATATTTGCATAGATATAGCAAATAGGTCAAACGCGGACTATGGACAATTGTATTTTTTTTCATCAATTTCAAGTTATGAAAATATTTAACAAGGTCAACAGGATAATATAATTGTTACATAATACATGATAGTCATATTATTCAACCTCTCTCTATAAATACAAGGCTTGTACTTGGATGTATTGTACTAATCTATCACATGATAATTAATTTTTAATATCCGAGTTTGAGATTATTTTCTTCATAAGAACCCGTCAAGAGTATCCAAAAATACCGAGGAAAAGATTTATATTTAACAGGCATAATGCTGTTTCTTAATTTCGTGGAAAATTCGGAGATAATTTGACGACTCCAGTTGAGAGGCTTTGGTAATCGGTGTAGCCAAATTGATTAGGGGTTGGAAATGAAACAAATTTAAATCGAAATCTCTATAATATGTTCCACCTTGCGCACGTGAAAATCACCGGTTTACGCAATATCCTTAAAAACATTAACAAACCTTAGTTTAGTTTTACCGGGTTCAAGTCACCTCGAGTACCCGCAAGGCTACAAAAATAATAATATTATTAATTTAAATAGGAATTCGCGTCATTTAGGTATATTTTAATTTTCGTTTGCTATTCCTTCTCTATGGATCTTCAGAGTAATACGACCGTACTCTACGCGAGAACGTTTTGCCTCTACCCGCACGATCGTACAGTACGTTTTTAATAACAATTATAAAATCATCCCCTCTGTAATATTATGTTCAAGTCCGCGGTTTACACCAATCTTAACTGATTTTAATTTTCTTATCACGATTTTTATTCGTCTGTTTTTTCTAACACGCCCGACCGTTAATATAATCATTATTTTTCTCGCGTATTTTTATTTTTTTATAATAAAAAAAAAAAAAATGAGCTCGCCGATATAAACACCACGTCGTCTTTAAATCCTTCAAAATTCGATTTTGGAGGAAAAATAAATAAAAATAGAATTATAAACATTTAAAATATTATAACCACGTTTTATTTACCAAATTTTTGAGTCTCGTAATAAGACCTTAGATTGGGAGGATGGATAATATAGATAATATATTTCATTCGTTTAATTAACTCGACTTTCGTTGCAGATTTTCGGGCGGATGAAAAATGTATATTTTTAAACCACAGATCAAATAGTTCCTATGTTACCTAATACCTATTATAATAATTGACTATATTATAAAAATAATCACGTTTGTCCTCAAATTGACGAGCGAAAAAAACAAATGTAATTTACGGGCTATGACAAAATTACTAAATCTCAACGTGAAATGTTTTAAAAAATAACGTACCGAACAACAATATCACCATACTATTTATTGTATTTCAACAATTTTTACGACCTTTTCCTCCCATTTCCCCCCAAAAAATAAAACTTCCACGCGATCTTTACGACTTCTAAAAACATAACCTTTTCTTTTTTTTTGTGTCCGACCATCAATATTATTTTTATTTTTACGTGATCCGTCGAAATACAATATTTCCGTAAATGGAAACTATAATAAGTGATGATCAAAAATTTGAATTTAGGAACAATTATTAATAAGTATTTAACAAGATATCCCACAAAAAAACAAAACAAATTGTGAATTGTAAGAACTATACGTTTATCAGAACCAAAATACTGGGGTAGATTACTGGCGAAAGAAAACAAATTTAGACCATGGCCCATGACTTGCTTTACAACTGCTCGAGTGAAGTCGGTGAATATGTCCGTACCCGAGAGGTAAAAGAAAACAAATTTGTATGACATTTTATTTGAGGGTATATGATGTTTTATTCTTATCTTATAAGAATAAAACTATTATATTATACGATTTTTTTTCTTTTAGCAAATAGAACACCTATTTAATAGTGGGTTTACTCGAGTAAGGGCATCAGAATTTTAACGTTTACACAAATGTGTTATGTATATATTTATTAACCACACATAAAGAGTAAAAATTTGATAGGTATGCTATAAATATAATAAAAATTAAATGTATTTTAAATACTGTGCTATAGTATTAAAAATTAAAATAAATACTATCCAAGAGGCAATACGCTTCGTATATTAATAAAGCTTCGTTGGAATGATTGTATTAGGCAGGATTTTTAAGTACCTTAGGAGCTCTAAACAAGATAATGTGGATGTAAGTTGGTAGTTATGAACAGAGATGTCTGGAAAAGGCTTTGTTATAAAAAAAAAACATAAACATTAATACCAAAAACTACTGTCAGAAAAATGACAAGAGCCAAGCATTATATTAAAGTCACTGTTACCAACCGTTCGCTATACTTATACAATTTCACATTTTCATTTCACCTCATCATCGAAATAGGTCATATAAAAACCCCGATTTGTTTTGTTTTTTCGTGTTTAACCAAAACAAATGTAGGAAAGTCGTCAGTCGTTCATGTGGCGACCTGTGTGATCATCTTGGCGTCTGTTTTCGAATTGCTATGTGACTACCCGTTGTCATCCGGGCTGTCTAAAAACCATTGGACGTATTTAGAGGTGATGACACATACATGTGTAAAATAAACAAAGTAATACATATTTGTAAATACTTAACCGTTTCAGGGAGTTTCGAGAATGTGTTTGCTCACCATTGACTTGCAATTTTGTTCTCTTTGCGTTCGTATCGCCAACGTTTACGAACGTCTGCACGCGGATATCCGATCATCCGGAATAGGTGAGTTTTTAGATTCTGAGCGAAACGAAGAATATTTATTGGTGTAATTATGATTCTTTTTAAATGTATTTTGTATCTGTAAACAACTTTTACCGAACATTTTGCTCTGATCAAAAACTTTATGGATATTTTTGATCAATATATAGTTAATATATTGAGACGGTATATTTAAAATTGTCCTCGTAATTTTCCAAATGAATGTGAAAAAAAAAAATTAATTGAATAATTTATACTAATTTCTGGGTTGCAACAAGAAAAAATACGACAAATTATGCTATGCTTAGAATCGTTTTTTGTTAGCAATAGTTTCTATCGTTTGTATAGATATAAATTAAACTACTTTATATGTGAAACTTTCCCCCCAAAAATAGTGGCACACCCATTAGCATTTTAGCCTTTTTTTCGTTTTTAAGTGCGTAGGTAAGTGCGATGCGCGACTATTGCCTACAGGAGAAAAAAAATTCGAATACGCGTAATACAATTCGCTGTGTACTTGACGTAATAATAAAACAGACTCACCCGCGAAAATGAATTACGAGAGAATATTTTATTTTCATTCTCAAATACGACATATTTTTTTTAATTAAAATGCGTTTTTTATTTTTGGCTAATCGTGAACAGACAACGCAAGCATATTACAGGTCGGGATCGTATTAAATTGATGAAAAACGTTTATAAATATACGATAGAACGATAATTGAGTTCCCGAAAACACGTTTTTTTCTTCATATTACCGTTCTATATACGGTTTTCATTCGTCGAATATTTTTATTTTTTTTTTTTAGTTAATCGAAACCTTATTATTGAAAACAAAAAATGGATATTGCAATGTAACTTTTTTTTAAATACATTTTATAATATACATTGTTCTTTGTTGATTAAATAAATTCTATAATTTAAAATTCAACGTTCAAACTCGCAAAACCTTTTTTCCCTTTTTTTTTTTTTTATTTTTGGCTCCTGGAGATATGAATACATATAAAGAGATAAAATAATATTTAAAAACTGTGGATTCCGAAAAACATTGCCAGCGATCAGTGGCATGTAGCCAGGAATAAATATATATGGCTGAAAAATAGATTTTTTCCTAATTAACAAATATATGTTTTTTTTTAATCATTTTATGCATTAATAATAATATTATTACTATCTACCTTACAGTCGTCGTCCAGACATTGTTAGGGGTCTCGATCGGAAATTTTTTCCAAAGTTAAGAATTCAAATACAGTGAGCACCACTTATGAATCATTATAACATAATAAACCATATGAGCGAAGTGGGGTCAGAAAATATTTTTTGTTAATTTCATTTTACATGGTTTACTTTTACATATTGCATAAAAGATTAATTTAATAATTTAGTTTTACATAATACATAATTTAAGCATATTATTTATTAAGCAATTTATTATTTTTTTAAATGAAGGTGTGGTGTTTAAACTCGAATAACATCTGATTATACTATGATTACAACAATAAAAGTACGAACATGTGGCATGCAATAACTGGGCCAGTTAATAAGGAGTGTATTTATACCTAAAACTACAATCACGATAATTGCAATAAACGTGAAGAGCAATAAGTTATGAATTGAACCTACTACAACAAAATAACTTCAAAATTAATTTATTTAAACATGTTCTAACATTTTTTTTTCGAAATTTGAGTCTTATAAACGACTCTTTTTAAAAAGTATTTGGATACATCCATACCATTCTAAATGATTTTGAATCTGAACCATGAGTATATCCATGAACCTTATAAGCGCCGTTCACTGTATAACCAAAACTCAATGAGTTACATTAACTTAGAATCCTATGACTTACTAGTTGTGATTTTTCGATTTTTTTTTTTTCCTTTAATTCTAATGGTTCTCCTGTGTTTTATCTATATTTGTCATGATGTTTCATTGACTAGGGTAAGACTAACACTAGGATATCTTATTAGAATACTAAATTTCTATGAAACAGTATCAAATTTGGACCAACAGGTGATAGTTTTTAGGTTTTCATTTAGGTTAAATATTTTTGTTTTTTCTTCCATATTTTAGAGTTTTTCTATTCGGAAGATGATAAAATTATAAAATCTCTTGGTTATTTTGCATGTACGTCCTCCGAGGAAAAATCAAAAAAACCTAAGAAAAATTGATCACTTTTCATCTAATTTATATCGCAAAAAACCACGCTCGGTTGGTAGAAATAAATTACACGGCCAAAACACGTTTTTATAATAATATACGTTTCTATCAACTGAACATAATATATTTCTTCGAATCGAAAAGAAAAAAATTGCGTATTTGCCACACGGTTTTCGTTTCCGTTATACACAATTTAAATAAATCGTTTCGACTGTTTCACAAACGTTTACTTAAATTATGCCATTTTCGGGACGGTTGCTGTTCACGCCGTGTCGTCGATCTTCTCAATAGCTTTACATAATATACGTTTCAATTTATTTATTTTTTGTGTACGATAAGACGACGGAACATTTTCAGAATATTTTACAAGAAGGATGATTTTATTATACCGTGATATTTATGTATCGAATTGAAAATATTATCTTTCGAACACATAGGTAACACTATATTATTATTATGCTATGATTGCTACACGGAAGAAAAACTAAACATATTTTTTTCAATATTTAATCCAATTTGTTTATATATATATACAAATTGGATATATAAAAAAAAACATCCTCAGATTAAAAGTAAATCAATATTATAATATTATGCGATTTAAATTTCTTTTTAATCTTTTTCTCTTGTCGCTTCGACCGTAATAAGCGTTCAAAAATACATATTTTGCATTATTCATAAACGCGATTTGAATAGTTATATCGTTTTAACTAGATGATATTATTATACTATTTGATCGCCCAAAACGAGGATGGTAAATAAAGGATTAAATTAAAAGAAATTGCACCGATAAAAAAGTAAAAAAAAAATGTAATTTCATAAAATCGACTTTCCTAGAAGAATATTGAAATATTGATGAATTAGATTGAGATCGGGGCACTTTTCTCAAAACCATAGGTAAAAGGAAAAAAAATTAACCCATGTCGATATAAACACGAAAACCTTAAAATTACAAGTCAACCCAAACCTGATACTGCTCTAAGGAAATTAGAATTCTTCTAAGTGTAAATCTAAAACCTAGTAGACGAAAAAATCGGGAGAGCAAAATTAAAGGCAGAAAAATCAAATGGCGCCCTTGAATAATATTCATAAAATGTATCATTTTTGATGTTGAACTAGAAAGTTATACCGTAGATCTAAATAATAGATGACAACCGAAAAAGAAGAACTATTTTCCAATCGTTTTTATTGTAGGAAACGGTAAAATCCAAAATGGTGAAAAAATGTATATAGACTTATACAATTTTAAGTGTATTATCGCGTTACGATCATTACATTAGATTAAACATCACGACTTTAATAAAATTACACATTTTTCGGTTTCTTTCACGTCACCATATTGAATCTTGACATTTTTTTGTCATTTTTATTTTCAACCGCTGCGTCAGTGATAAAAAAAAAAGAATCGAGTGAATATATTACAGTCGAAAACACAGTAAAACGAAAATTACGAAAAAAAAAAAATTAAAATACATAAAATAATTATTTTTTACTCACTTTTACTCTGTGTACACCGAGTTTTATGTACCATACTCTCGTATTTTTCAATTTAACGTTTTCACACTCAAGATAACGGTGTGTGCAGTAACCTTTAAATAGAATACTTGTAAGTGTCAACAGTTTTAAACTCATTTCACCTTGAGAGTCGTTGGTCTTTTGACACATCGATTATCTCCACAGTGTAATGGCGTCTTTTTTTTTTTTAGATGAAAGGGAGGGGTTGCAACTCAGACATTTTAGTTGGCCTTTGACTTTTGTGTCTGGTAAATATTGTCAAAATATCCACAATTTTTCCTTTCCTTTTTCTGTTCGCATGCCCCCCAGATTGTGAAAATAAGCAGTCCATGGTCTAATTTTCCAACCGGTTTTCACGACCTTTTATCTTTTAAAATTACATGTAAAATTTAAAAACTACAAAAATATGTGAGCATATCTACATCTTTGTCAATACGAAAAATTGGAATATCTTTGATTATAAATACAAATAATAAGTAATATTCTTGCGGAGCACAAATTTAATTTAGTGGTAATGCATTTCTTTACTGATCGGAAAATTTAGTAAGTTTGCGCCAGTTTACCAAATATTTAAATAATGCCACTGTAACAAATTTGGATTGCTGTACCTCTTTAAACAGATGTTAATTTTTGAAATATGGGCAAATATATTGTTTAAAAGTAAATAATTACTTTAAAAAATATAACTTACACCTAAGTAGGTACCTATTTGATTTCTAACCGAATTTTCGACCGTTCGCTATACTTTTTGATTTTGAAATCATTTTGGAAATCAAAGGTTGCTATAGACTTTGGCGGGTTTGTAAGTTGAGCAATCGATAAAAAATAACAGAAATTTCACTTGATCGAATGGTTATTTATCGAAAAGTACAATATATGGTCGCCTTTATAGTATACGAGTATACTTAACTCGGACTTTCGACGATACTATATATTTTTTAGACGAAAAAGCCGTCTGTTTTAATCGTTTTTTTCCTGTTATCGATGCCCATCAACCGGTTCACGTTACAGGTGTCCGGCCGCCGGGGGGCCCACGACACAGGGTTGCTGGCCTGTCGGCCGTCGCATCCGAGTTCGGGGCCCTTAGCGGAGTGGCCGTCCGCGCTAACGATGCGTACGCCGGACAACTGTCGCTGATCGTCGGACTGCGATTTTCCGGCACGTTGGTGGACGTATACCTGTGCTGCTTCCACGCCCTGTCGCTGGCCGCACCCTGGACCACCGACATAATCGGCGGCGTACGAGCGTTCAACAATCTGTTGCGGTTGTCGGCCGTTTCTGGTGCCGCGCACTACGCATTCAAACAGGTGTGTGTGTGTGTGTGTGTGTGTGTTTTTCCGAGCGTACCGTCGACTTACAACTCCGACTAGACATTTTTTTTTTCCACCCAACCGATTTACGTTGGTTCGCCAAGCAGTTACAAATATTAATTTGACCGAATAAACACTACACAAATCACGGACGAATTCAAACGAGTGAAATGTTTGAGTTAGCAGTATAAGAATACTTAGACGACGCAGAGCGGCGTTCTTATTAGTTTATTTCAAATTGCCACGTAATTTTCGTTTCAATTATATAACTGCTATCATGCAATTTTTTACGAAATCGATTTAATAAATGCCGTGGTGCAATTGTCAGTGTCATACTTGCGGTACCGGATCGAATTAGGAAGGCAAAATAATAATTTTTGCACTTTTTCTTTTTAAGAAATTATCCTTCGTTGGATTATTTCGATTTGAAAATTAAACGTTTTCTCCTGTTACTTACACAACGTGGTTCTGTACAACAAATCGAAGATTATTTTCTTTTAGTCTTAGTTTAAGTCTTTGTTTTTTTCTTCTGTTATCTATCCGACTAAGTTTTGGACAACACATCAAGGGATATATTCGTTAAAAATAAAAAAGTACAAAAATAATGCGATAACTAGATCTACTGAGTTGACGTGATTGTTTCGTAAATAATTAATAATTCAACAACTTATGATAGTAGTTATGATAAAGAAAAACGGGTGAAACGAAAAGCATACAAATCTAATACGGACCAATGAGAACGTGATATGCATATATGTGGCATCTATATCTCGTTATTGTCCATTTCACGAAATGGAAACACGATTTCTCCATTTCGCGTAAAATAATACATTAATAATAATAATAAAAATAATAATAATAATATTAATAATTATAATATAATTATATATTAATAATTTTTTTTTTAAGAAAACTATTTTTTTTTTTTTTTTAGATTACAAATTCCTATTATTATTATTTATTTGAACATTTTTGAGTAGTACAACAACGAGAATTACATTTTAAATTATCTTTAAAACAAGAACATTTTTTTGTTTTACATTTATCTTTACAGTAACAGCTAAAAAAAGCCATTACCTCCCGTTAAAGGTAATATAATTTCTCTGACTGACATTTCTTTTGTCTTTATTTGGACGACATTAATGAGCTTGAATATGGCCGGTTGAATATTTTCTGAACCATATCAATCTTTTGTTGATAAACAATGCCATGTTCAGTTCCTAAACGTTTGAGATCATTTTTATGTTGCAACACTATTGCAATAAAGTTCGCTGGATCTGTAGGGCCTCTATCCACCTTTGGAACGAAATAACGATGGTTATCGACCAAAACGTTATCCATTTCGCAAAATAGACTATAACGCGACATGGATGCGACATATTTATATAGAAACCGCTCTATAACGTCTAGGACTGCTTATGTCGCAACCTGTTAACAGTGACCTGTTTGATTGAAAGAACGGAGTACACTAACTTTTTGGGTTAAATTATTTATCTGCTATGTAAATTGTATGTATATATTATGGGAAGGGTGAGAATCAGACGAGGCGCTTAATGTAATTTTCTTCTATCTGTATCTTCTAGCGTTGTTTTAGCGAATACTTTTAAAAATAGTTAGTGTTTTACATTTAGTGGCATGTAAATAGTTCCAAAAATATTCACTAAAACTACTGATACTAATACTAATTATGGAGAATAAAAACTACGCATTCCATACCCGTTTTACAACAATTCGTGGACAAAACAAACCCTCTACACTCTTCAACCTTGTCGTGTTCCTGTGTCCCTCGTGTCCTCGAATAGTTTTGTTATTAGAGTGACGAGGATGATTTTTAAAAAACTAGTCATTTTTTGGTATAAAAAAAAAATTGGTAACAATATAATATATATTATTATAAATATTGAAAAGAAAAAATATTATAGGGGAGACATATTTTCAAATTCCCTGTTTATTCGTCCTTGTCATATGCAGCTCTGTATTTTATCTTAATCTTAAGTGAAATATTCGTTACCGTGCACACAATTTACTGTATCTATTACAGTGACGTACTTAAGGACGAGGCGATGGGGCCTTCCCCCCATCAATTAATTTGTGTTGTGTAGGTATTTGCTATATATAATATACAAAAATTTAATATTGCTAGAAAAGTGGCATTACTCATCAGACACAAAGATAAAAATAAAAACACTTCATGGTAAGATAAATAGAGTAAAATTTAAGCTTGTGTTTATACCTAGTGTACAATAATTTTAGTGTGCCCCGCGTTCATAAAACTAAATAACATACGCCACTGATCTATTATATGTACTGTATCACCACAAAAAAAACATGTTATCAGTGGCGGTGAAAATAAAACCTTTTTATCAAAATTGAAGCGGTCGAATTACTGATTTTCATTAATTCTAAAAAACGTCTATTTCATAAATGCCAAAATATCCGGTCCGGTTTTGTTTATGGAGTTTATTTCCAGTAATAAAAACCCCGATAGTCTATTGGTTTCAAAAATATATTAATTGAAACAACATAATGACGGTTTTTGCTGGGTTTTTGTGTGCTTTCAGTCAGGCCAAGAAAATCGATCCGCAATTTCGGAAATTTCGAATCGGAACACATCGCGAAATTACGGTCGGCAGATGAGGACGCGGGAGGTGGTTTTGAAAAACGATGTTTTTAATAGCCTAGTAAATCATCCACTGACGTTTAAAGGCTTCTTCGGCATCTCGTCAAATAGCGAGGATGACAAAATAAAAAATGAAGAAAAAAATATCGTGACAATAGAAGAAAATATTTATTTACGAATAATAATAATTGTGATTTTTTTTTGGTATCATTTCATTCTGTAAAAATGAACGTTAAGTTTGAGCATGAAATAAGGCACTAGTGCCTAAGACAGGGGGTCAAATCAATAAGTTGGAAAATTAATGGTATTATCTACTGAAATATCTAATAAAACTAATAAACTGTTTTATTGGTTATTTTAATATATTGTATCATACCTACTACAAAATTGTAGCTACATAATATTAATACAAATAATTTGTGCCCAATGACATTTACCGTTGTTGGTTCTCCAGATGTGACTTCCCAACTCCAGTCTTGTGCCTTTTACAAATTTTACTACACTTTCTTTTCCATATAATTGTTGTAACTGTTCGTTTGACCTCCTCTCCCGCACTTAATTATCAGATTAGATCATATATATTATCCTTAACATTTTTTCAAAGATATTTAGTCTATTCTCATCTCTTTCTTTTGTAGCCATAATACAACAATAAAAAGACACAGCTGATCTGAGTTTCGTAATGTATAATTTCTCTTCTCCGAAGTATATTCGATCATTTACTGGAGTGAGTTTCTTTATAGAAGGTAATAGCTGAGCATTTACTGAGGAACCTACTCCATTCGCATGTTTGTCATTGAATGTTCTACTGTAAAATATCATTCCATTGGTCTCACATTTACTTCCCCTAGTCACGTGACCTTCTGCACTGATATTATTTGATGTATTTCTTCACAACGTTACTTACACAGACTAAAGTGCACCGGGCTTATAAAGTGATCTGTTGTTTCATATATAAATCCCGTATTACTGTAATCCGGGATGTTTCCGAGTTGTATCAAAAATCTGAGCCCGAGGCAAAAATTGTTTTGGCTTCTAAATAATGGCGAGTTAAAGATAGAAATATGCTGAAATGACATAATATTTACGATTTTCAAACCATTTTGAATACCTACAAAATAAGAACTATGTACAAAAACCAGCAAATACAAAATATCTATAAATAGGTCAAAAATTGCCAAAATGTTTTGAAACAACTTCTAGAAAAGGCTAATATAAGTATTCTGTGAAAATATCAACTCTCTAAGAATATTTTTCATTGGATAACAATATAATAACAAAATTTAAAATAATGAAACCATTATTTCCATAAACTTTCCTATTCGTTTTATGGTTTTCCAGTTTAGCTGAGTTGTTAAGAAAACTACAAAAAAAAAAATCAGTAAACCGACTATGTTAATCATCACCTAGATTTGAATGCCAGAAAAAAGATCTTGTATCATTTTTCAGTTGGACCAAGATTTTTCGTAAAAATGTTGTCAGAAAAAAGATAAAAAATATGTTAGAAAAAAAAATAAGTAAAAAACACATATCACAATAAAACCTATAGGTCTTTCAGATTGCTCAAAATCTAAAATGTAATATAATTCTTCATGTGTCTTCATTTTTTTTATATATAAGTATTTAAAGTTTGTGTTTTAACAAAATCGTAAAAATCACATTTCAAAAAATGTTTAACCAAACTTTGTTCAGAATCGTCTTTTGTTAGCAAATGAATTACGCGTTACGTACAAGTATAAATTAAATAATCCTTTATACATCCAACATATTTCTGCATCCACCTACAATAGTAGCACATTCACCACCCATATCAGTTATTTTCTTATTGACTTTTGGCTTTTAAGCAGGTACCGAAATTAAAAACATTGCCATATTATTCTACCGGTTTTCCTAGCGAAAACATCGATATAAAATATAATAATAATAATTTTACGGACCACTCTAGAAATAATATTATCACTCGTCGAAATCATCGTAGTTTCTAAAATTTAAAAATAAAATACCCGCATTCCCTAAGTAACTATATACAATTAATGTAGAACATTTCTATCCCAATTATCGGCGCTGGGCGGACATTATCAGCTTTACGAATCCCACACAATTTTAATTCCCCCCAGTCCCGATTTAGTGTAAAATTATGCTTTGGCTGCGGTCGGACAAAAATCGTTTTTCGTTTATATAATATACAATGATAATAATAATATTGCGTTTCATGAACGAAGTTTCGAACGCACATTTCATAAAAGGAAATTATAAATTCACCAATTAATTAACATTCGGGATATTTAATTTGTATAATATTATTATAATATATTATACTAAGCATTTAATTAAATGTATGATAATTTTTTTCTATTATACGAACACATTCATTAAGTCAGATGCCACATTCAAAAAGATCTTTATAAAACCTTGGCCCGAAAATTGATATCAATAATTG